ACCATGTATGCGAGATGTTTCCTCTGGAGACAAAACAAACCGGAGGGGCGGATAAAGAAGACGTAAGAAGATGCTGAATGACCTTGGGGACAGAAGAGGATATTTTCATTTGAAGGAGTAAGCTTGAGATCGCATTAAGTGGAGGAACTGCTTTGGAAGAGACTGTGGACCTGTGGTCTGACAGATTACTGATGAATGAATGAATGAATATATCCCTATATATATATTACTATATACTGTACTGTGCAACAGCTCTCTGTCGATTTTGAAAGTCGTGTTGTGTCTTTAACGTAACAATTAAAACAATTTCACCATATACGCGGGTACTACGTACTATCGAAATTGTTTTCTATCGACTATGAAAGTCCTTCTTCAAATCTTCATATAATCACAGTACAGAGTGCTTACCACATCGAAAATTTCACAGTAAAAGTGTTCTACTGGAAGTTCGCGGCCACACATCTGAATAAGACACTGTTCCAGCGCTTTATGAAGGATCTATGAAAGGCAGGATTCGGTTGTGTTTCATCATATTTAGGAAAAATTTCATGATGGTAACTGTTTCAAATTTGGTCAACATAGCTCACCTTGGGGTAACGTATATTTATGGTGTCGGAATACTGTGAATCCAAGGTACCCGGGTTTCCGTAATGGAAATACGAGGCCGTTTTAACATCACCGTCGTTGAAAGTGGCGAATGCCAGCGACGTGCCTTCCGGGGAGAACCACAACGCTGAGCCCGAACCCAAGACCTCCTCTGGAACGGACACAATGGTTATTACATTTCCAGAACCTAACTAAGAGAAGATAAGAAATTTGTGAAGTGCCCATTGCATTTTTGCCACGGCTGTTTTCAGCAGGCCTCGAATTACATCCGCACACCAAACGGTAGGATGATCATGAATAGAGAGCGTTATAAGAAGAAGGGGCCGCTAATGAACCAATCGAACTTACAGTATACCCAAAAAAATCACAAAAATACTCAATAAGCATAATCGGTACTTGAGTCGAGGTTCCTTCATGGAACTCAATAAACAGAAATTTGGGATAGTAACCACTACACGAGGGACATGGTTTTTTTTTATTAATCCAACCACCGTTTCTGAACTGTATACAATAAATATATTTGAGGACGGGGGCAAGAGGGAACGGTGAATCTGCAGTGGTTAAGGACGTTGTCATGTCCTTATCTCCTTAGTGTGCATCCTGTTGTGTGTTCCAAACATATATATAGAAAGAAGAAAGCAGTCTTCTGGGATTTGGCACCATGTATATGTGGTGTTAACCGACGTTTGGGAGGAACGTATCGCCTCCGGTAACCGGTCACCGGTTCTCACGGTCTGTTCGCTTGCAGATTTCTTATATTTTTTCTTCTACCCTGAAGATGGAGGCGATACGTTCCTCCGAAACGTCGGTTAACACCACATATACACGGTGCCAAATCCCAGAAGACTGCTTTCTTCATAGTCACCGCCGTGAAAGCCTCAAATCTTACATATATATAGTAGTTATGTTAAACCGTCACCACAACAAATGTATACTCGCTTTTAATGTATACAATTTAAACTTATATTTGTGCTACGTGTTCCGGTCACACATGATCATCATCAGGCAGTTAATATTGTGGCGTATTGGCTCTAGGCAGGAACTGTTATTGAATTACTAATATGGATCCATACTAGTGCAACGTCTGATATTATATAACAGAAATTTTGTTTCAAGTTGGTAATAAGAATTACAATTAAGTATACAAAATAAAAAATATACACAGTGTGTCCAGATTCTGTTAGGACTGTGTTAATTAAAAATACAAGATATGAATTATTTTCAAAATGTTACTCTTTTTATTCAAAATAGTCTCCTTCTGAATCAATACATAGCTGGAATCGATTGAAAAGTTTTCGAAAACCGTCACTGTACTCCTTTTGTGGAATCGCATTTAAAACTGCGGTACTTTCCCTTTGGATGTCCTGGATGGTGTCGTGACGGTCTCCTTTCATCGCCAACTTAACTTTTGGGAACGACCAGAAATCTGCTGGAGCCAAATCTGGCGAATACGAAGCATGATCATGGACTGTGATCCTTTTTCTGGCCAAAAAATCGCGCACGATCTTCGATTTGTGGGGTGGGACATTGTCGTGGAGGAGTGACCAGGAATCTTGCTCTCGATATTCAGTTCGATTTCGAAGAATTCTCGCCCACAAAGGATTGAGGACTCTGAGATAATAATCATAATTCACTGTTTGACCTTCTGGCAGAAATTCCATGTGAATGATTCCTTTGGAATCGAAGAAAATGGTTAGCAGCGTCTTTACTCGACTCTTTTGCATGCGCACTTTCTTTGGTTTCGGCTCCTTTGGGCTCAACCATTCTGCACTCTGCCGCTTTGTAAGAGGCTCATATTAAAAACACTATGTCTCGTCACCAGTAACAATTGATTTTGTAAATTTTGTATCACTTTGGGCCGACCGTAACATGTCTTTGCAGTGTTCCACTCTGACGTGTTTTTCATCGTCTGAGAGCGTGCGGTACAAACCATGCACAGACCTTCCGTTTGCCAAAATCCTCGGTCAAAATTTGATGCACAGTACTTTGTGGTATTCCCAAAAGCTCCTCAATGAATCTTGCAGAAACACAGAAACACATCTGTCTGATGCAAGGATGTCGGTCACTTTTTTCACATTTTCTTCAGTGCGACTTGTTCTCTGTTTTGATGCACGTGGAGCGTCTTCAATGTCCTCCCTGCCGTCACGAAATACAGCATACCATCGAACAATGTTCGAGCGACTCAAACAATCACTACCGTACAAGCTTTTCGACGTTTCGTACGCTTCTCCGGCTGTTTTGCCTAACTTCAAGNTTTTAAACAAAATTTGATGTTAGCTGTCTGTTCAACCGCCATTTTCCGACGAGTGTCAGAACAGTACTGTTACATTCAAGGTCAGAACACATGATGCATCGATGCTTGCGCTTTGAAATTATAGACAGCCGCAGCTGAAATTTCAAGAATCTTAACGCCACAACTGGTCCACAGATGGCATTGCAGGGCATCCTAACGGACCCTGGACACACCGTGTATAACATTCATCTAGGATATATTAAATGTGTATAGAATTATGTTAATTATATTAACAAATATGAAAGTATTTAAAATATTATTAAACTTATTAATAGCATATATGCTAAGCTAATTGTAAGGTTCAAGTGCTACAGTGTAGTATTAGGCCTATTGTCTAATTTGTGGATCCTTATTGTTAGAAGCATCCACGTAGTCGTGAAGCCCAGGGAGAAGTGTCAATGATATATAGGTTGTTATGAATGTGTGATGTTTTGGGTACGCGTATTTCCAGGTATGGATTGTGTTATTATGTGATCATTCATATGACGTATGTTTTTTCTAGTCTGGACATGTGTATGTTAGATATGTACTACACTGTGCGTTGGTTCGATGTAGACTGATAAGTTTGTCATGACCTGTATTGAGGCATTAAATCCCATCATTTGCCTAGATTAAACCTCTTAGAAATCTAAGGATAAGCGATGTCCTGGCGGGGAATAGAACCAGCGGCCTCCCGAACAAGATGCAGGAAAGTACATGAAGTCACCTTCGTACACCCAGTCCGGCACGCCGTTATAGACGACGCCGGGGATGCCGTTGTATGTGATGCGCTTCTCCTCGGTGCCGCTGTAGCTGGACGGACGGTAATAAATGTCGTTATCTAGCACAAAGGCAAGTGCGTTGCCCTTCTGAGCCAGGCGTACCAACTGTAGCAGGGCGCCTCCAGCCACAGGGGAGTACGTTCTGCACATACGAACAGACGCAATGTGTTTACTAAACTGACTTTTTAAACAGACATTGTTTCACAAAACTAAAGCATAAATTGCAACGTGATGAGAATCTTGTACATTTCATTTCTGAGAAGATATTCGGCAGATTTTGAAGTGGGTCAACCGTAAACAACACAGCTACATTTATTTATTATTAATTTCTGCTTGGCATAACTCTAATTTGAAGCCGGGATAGCAAAGGCGGTATAGTGACAAGGCAACGGACTGGGTTATCAAGGAATCACAGTTTGATCCCTGGCAGGTAAAAGAGACATTTTCTTCTCCTTATAGTCCACATCAGATCCGAGGCCCACCCAACATCCTACACAATGACTACAGGGGACGTTTCCCTTGAATAAATTGTCAGGGGCGTGAAACTGACCACTCACATCCATCTAGCGCTGAGGTGAAGAACAGTGGAGCTACACCTCTACGCCACTGTATGTATTCAAAGCGTAGCACTTAAGTATGGTACAATTTTAAATATCCCCAACTTTAAATCAAACGCGAAATTAAACTTAATACAGCTTAAAAAAAAAAGGATCATGTAAGAAAAGAATAATTATAAATAACTTTTTCGTCATGAATACTTAAAAGAACAAAAATATATTAGTAACTTATAAACTACATGCATTCAACTGGAGTAAATTTTCCGCTTCAGCCGAGAATTTATTTTGCTAGGTATACGTGTAGAAGGCTGTGCCTTTAAGATTAAAGGGACCGGAGCGTGAAGGTGTCCATATATCTACTTCTAGTTCCGACATCAATTTGTGTTTAAAGCACTGTAGATATGTAATCATTACATGGAGATTTTTTTATTCGCTTAGTGGGGGGTGGAGTCGAACTGGGTTCACTCCGTACGGCGGCCACTGATTGGCCTATTGTACCTGCCCAGGGTGATTATGATGATGGAGAATTTGATGGAATGAAGATTGGCAGGGGAAACCGAAGTACTCGGAGAAAATCCGCCCCAGCGCCACTTCGTCCACCACAAATTCCACTTGACTAGACCCGGGATTGAACCCGTGCCGCCGCGGTTGGAAGCCAACAGCTAACCGCTTGAGCTATGGCGCGGTCATTACATGGAGTTAGTGTCTTCAGTGCCACAAAGAAATACGTTACTTTTCTGCTTATCACAGCCATTAAATATCCTTTTATGTCCCTAATTTCAGTTTTCAAAAACTGGAAATTAAAAGTTGAAGTCGAAATGTAATGATAAAACAATTTTTATCCCACTGGCTTTATTTTAGAAACAGGCACTAAAAGAGATGCTTACAGAAATGTAATGTCCGTGCGCTTGTGAGTTCCTTTCTGTATCCTTAGAGCCCACTCACGGATTTTCATTAACGTTGTTACGAACCTCTTAATATTAAGGGTCACTCAACATTATACATCTAACTTTTGTCATAAATTATACTCGCAAATAGCAGTCGCCATTGAAACAATTAAGAATTCAGACATTTTTAAGGTAATAAATTTTTAATCCCACAACTATGCAGGTTTTATTAAAGTAATTTATGTAGTATTTAAAATAACATGGTGATCGCACATAATCCATATTTAGCTTTCCGTTTGAGGGCGACAAATTATGAAGCATAATAACTAAAGTAATTAATTATTGCTATCCACCCATCACCTTCTGCATAACTATATGCTTCATCAGGAACCGTTTCTAACCCTCTCGAGGCTGACTGGACTCTAATTGAGTTAAAGGCAATTCTAATAACTTTAAGTGTGATGTTTATCGTACATTGGCTTATCCTTGGTTTACAGATTGCTAAATTTCTTGTTCAGTTTTATAGATTCTAAGATTAAATTTTGCTTGGCGGTGTCACTGAAACTAGGGATCAGTGGTTATACCGTTTTAACTGTAGTACTTATTTTATGTAAAACGAGTAATGGAACTAATAAGCGTAGAGAAACTTTCGTGGAATAGACATAATTTTTAGCGCTTCTTTCTTTTTTACGAAGTCAAGATGTTCAAGCAATTTACATGTTATGCAACACATTCAACATTCTCCTCACGGTATACAATCAGAATGTCACATTCTGATAGAAGAGAGATGGTCTTCAGGCATACTTCATGTGGACTCGAAACTTACTTCTTTCAGGAGAGGTGATTGTGATACTAATCACTATCTGCTAATTGCAAATTTATGGAGAGCTTTTCCATAGGCGAAGTAGCCAAAACGTTAGTGTAACGAGACTCTATCTAAAGAACATAAATGAGACGGACAATAAAGAATAGCATGCGGTTAAAATCTCAAAGATTTTCGCAGCTTTGGAAGACTTAGATATTGGTGTGGACAAAACAGAGACTGGGAAACGCTGAGAGGGAATATCAAAATTTTAGCCAAAGAAAATCTCTGTTATTAGGATCTGAAATACCATAAGCATAGTTTGACGAAGGTAAAGCTAAAAGCTAGAGCTATCACTGTAACAGGCAGTTAAGGCCCATAGGATTGTGGGACACCGAGGCTCCCACATTTTCTCCGGACAATCGGCTCACAGATGGCGGTAAGTTTGTCAGCCTTACGCGCCGGCCACCCTTTACACACCCCTCCAGAAAAATTCCTGGTACTCATTTCTGTTAGAAGCTGAGTCGAACCCAGGGCCATAGTGCGGCTGGAAGGATTAGGTCAATTGAAGAATTCCACCTCATCGGGACTTGAATCCGCGACCTTGCGATCTGTAGCATAGTACCTCAACCAACTACTCTACCGCGTGCCCCCCGCCCCCAGTTTGACAAAGGGAATTAAAAATTGTGTGATCAAAGTAAACAAGTTAAATTGCAATGATCAGAATCCGAACGAAATTGAGATACAAATTGGTGAGAATCCTGCAGCATCTGAACAACTACCAGATTTTCGAAAAGGACTTGGTTCAATGGAGTTAGCAAGTTATGCCATGTTAGTCGTGTTTACACTCGAACTTACTACTACTTGGAACTTACTGAACATATCCGTGTGCTGGTTGAGCATATGTCATAAATTCAAATAGCAAATAATCGCGTTGTGCTCCTAGTCTACTGTTTCTATGAATAACGTGACTTGGTCACGCTATACACGGGCTACACGCACCTGGAACTGAGGTCGTAGATAACGAACCTGGAGACAGTGGAATGGCGAAATCCCTACGAACAGACAGCAGAGGCGTCCGATTAGGAACACATATTTTAGAGGCAAACATCAGGATCGTGTGAACGTCACAGTACATACCGCCTGCAAGTCGTAACCAATGAGAAGGAACAGTCCGTCAGCTGAGAGTTCGTAACTCGTGGCTCGGTACTCCTCCTGCACACAAAAAGACATGCGGCGATTAAATTCATTGTAGAGCAGACAGTCCTCGCCTGATTCCATAAGTTAGACTTCTGAGGGCTAATGGTCGTAAGTGTACACGGAAAGAATATGTGAATATGTGCAGCGCAATTGCCGATTCCTGCTAGAAAAGGATCGAAAGTCTTCCGAATTTCGTCCAACTTGCGGGTACCATGTGTACATATATTGACGTTGTTCGGGAGAGCATGTTTTGCACGCAAAATGAAATACCAAATTTCGCTACAGGATGATCAATGTTTGAAATGTGTACATCTTCCGGTAAGCACAATTAAAATGTCTCCCGTGTAGCTGAGATATATCAGCGTGCCCATTGCAGCTTCTGAAAGCCATTTCCTTAAATTAATGCAGCTTATGAAACGTATTCAAGTTTCATGCTGGCGCTTTGTTTGGTGACAAGATTTAATTAACTAAATGACACTGTGTGATATTTGAGTTTCTCAAGGTAACTGTGGAAACTGATACCTTCTGGTATGTGATGCCGTGTGGTTTGATAATTTTATCCTATTCCACAGGACATCATATCCCAGAAGAGAGAAATCTTGGATGCCACTCACTATTCTGATATAAGAATTTCATGCAAAGAGTTTACATTACAAACGGTTAACTTTATCATTTTTAGAACCTATATCAACTCTTACGTTGTCTGGTCTCAAAAATGACATGTGACACTATGACTGAAAGTGTAGTCACGGAAGAATGTTAAAGCATCGTGATATTTGCATGGAAAGCTAGAGAAAATAAAGACGAACTTCATATAGGTTTTCATGTTTTCAGAGTGGTGATTGTTCAAATTACGGTCTTTTGCGTTGTGACGCCGTGTAGACTTGCAGGTTGAGTGTACCCCTGAGAAGGACAGATTCGCTAGCTAATGTTTCCATTTGTCCGTGTTGGGCTTCACTCCTTACCCCTGCCCCACAAGTCTTTTGAATACCGTCTTGTCAACATTCCCAGAGGTCAAAAAGGCTCAACGCCACAAGAGACTGGCGGGTTGTGATTAACTCTATCTAGAGGTCCATAACCGAACAAATCCTTGCCATATACGCTTCAACCTTGAAGATAGAAGGAACATGTTCTTCCGAAACGTCGCTATTCGCATATAAGACTGCACAGTGATAAAATCTGGAACGCCCAGATGAAGAAGCGAGCCACGACATCCGTCACTTGTGGTTTGAAGGATGTGTGTTTGATTTCCGACAGGGGTAGGAATTCTTTCAGTGAACACCACTTAAGATGGACTCTGAAGCCAACCGAGTTCATATCCAACGGTAACCATGTACTCTTATACCTGGAGTAAAACGGTCGTAGCGTGAAGCTATCTTCTCATCTCAATCGAGTTCCGAGTTTAAGAAAGCATAAAGTTTAACTTCCTTTCCACCGATATATGATATAAATTCCGTCCTAAGTGCAACAATTTATTGTACGTAGGTCTTTCGTTTTGCTTTCTTCTACACTATATGTTTCGGCCGCAAACGGCCATCATCAGGTGCATACACTCACAGCTACGTGAGCACCTGATGATGGCCGTTTGCTGCCGAAACATGTAGTGTAGAAGAAAGCAAAACGAAAGACCTACAATAAATTGTTGCACTTAGGACGGAATTTATATGATATATCGTATAGAGTGTAACAGGATGCTTAAATATATTCATTTCTGCCTTCAAGCATTCGCAGCGCCACTCTTATCATAGAGACAGCTTGGTTTTTATGAGGTATCTGAGGTCTTAAAGAAGATACAGGATCCGTAATTTTGGCCTGCTGGTTGTTTTACTCTGTACCTGTTAGATGGACACACACGTTTCGAAAGAGCTTCATTCTACCGTGAAGATAGGAGCATATATCTCAGAAAAGTTCATAACTACCCATCAGACTGCACGATGGCACAAGCCTGAAGGTCACAGGATGAACTCCACTTTGCAAACGAAGGAAGTAGCGGCCTTATGTTGAGCTACAGACCTGACGAACGCAGCGCGCCCTCGCATTGTTCTGTCGGGGAACTGGGTCACGGGGACACCGGATGATAAATGATACATGATCTGATTTGTAGGGGTATACTTTGTCTTGGAATGCGATTGATCCATTGTCTTCACTTTAATGCCACAAGTGTCAGGCTGTACTTGCAGAAGCCCAGTGTCAAATAAGGTATTTGTCTTTTGATCTATAATCACAAGTATCTGCATTCATATCGCATAAAAACATGAAATTGATTAGGAATACCCAGCATAGTTGACTTGAGAGCCATTCAACTGTCAGAACATGATTTACAGCATGGATTACTGTATCTAGCTTACGCTGAGATAAGCTACTTCTAGACCCATTCTCTGAAATCGGTGCTGACTACAGATAACACATGGATTTGTAAGATTTGAGGCTTTCACGGCGGTGACTATGAAGAAAGCAGTTTTCTGGGATTTGGCACCGTGTATGTGTGGTGTTAACCAACGTTTCGGAGGAACGTATCGCCTCCATCTTCAGGGTAGAAGAAAAAATTAAA